TTCAGCTGTTTTCCGTCCAAGAAATTTTGCATGGACCGGAAGATGTGGTAATCGCATGGACTGATGTCCGGGCTATACGGTGGATGCGTGATCGTCTTGATGCCCAGCCTGTCCAGGACGGCCTGAGTATCTCTCGCTTTGTGGGGGCGCGCGTTGTCCCAGAGCAACCACGGATTTGCAAGTTTCTGGGACAAGGCGGCAGCTTTCACCTTGACCTCCTGCAATTCTTTAGAGAGGGTCTCTGCCGTCACTGTGGCATTGTTGGGTAGGATGCTGTAGTGGACGACGCCGTGGCGAGAGAACCAGAAACCTCGGCATATCTTCGATGCCATAGTTTCCATTGGTGAAGCGAGTCCACCATTTTGACATCCAGTTCTTAGAAGGGGTGTTATCACCAAACTGCTGACGCATCCTGGTCGTGGCCTGACGTCTGGAGATGCCCAGGTTGTAGTAGTCCAGCAAACATCGGCGGTGGTGGTGACTATCACTCATCTTCACTGCTTTATTGTGGGAAGAGCAGGAAAGGAAATTTAGAGCTAGCTAGCTCAGAAGATAGCCCATCGCGAGTACTTTCAGTATTGCGAAATCATTATGCAAAATCACAACGCGTTGCGTTTACAAATGGCCAACGAACTTTGTGGACACCCTAATACGTGTTTTCTTCTGGAGATAAGAGATAGAGAAAGCCAAGCAAGTGACGGAGATGGAGTGTACTTCAAGTTAGAAGAGGAAGAAAAATGAAATGAGCGGTTTCAGAAGTAGTAGTGGAAAGAAGGCCCTGCTAAACGGCTGCCTAGATTGCCCTGTTCGGGGAGCAAGAAAGCAATCACTCACTTGGCATAGTTCAAAACGATATCGCTGATATGATGTCGTTTCCTATGAAAAATCTCTTTAAGTTGATCGACAGTTGGTGCAGTCTGAGTGATTCCACTGAGGATTTCGTGAACATGTCGCCATGCACGGTTCTTCGACTCTTCATCGGCCGCTTCATTCAGAATGACGTTTTTCTTCGAAAGTACCTGAACATGAGTTCAAGTAATATGAAGAACATATAGGATACTGGTAGTTCGTGGGAGATGGCCAGCCGTACACACTGGAAAGGGTTTCTTTCAAAGGGAGCACATACAGGGGGGCCAAAAAAAAGTCATTCCGGCCGAGTCACATATGAGCGAAGTTTTCGCAGCCCAGACAGAGGAAGTGGATATGAGTACCAGGGCGGAAGATACCCAAGATCTTCCTCTATAAGCAGGAGCCGGCTGCCGCCATTCACCTTCATGTACACAAAATATGAGGTCATCTCCAGTCGCAGCCTGACTGGAGAAGACCGTTGGAATTCATGTCACCTCAAACAGATACGAAACTTCTAGTATGTCACCCATGGATAGCTACCTGGAGACTAGTACTCTCAATCTGGAAGACCTCCAACATCGAGCAGCTCCGACAACGTCGCTACGGTCTAGGACATCATCTTCACCGCAGTCGTCAAGGAGCGGGTTGATGGTGTGGACCGGCCGTACCTGGAATGGAAAGACCAATATTTTCTTCGTGGGCTCCAGACTGAGGGTGTGCGCTGGTGGCTACATCGAGCAACGAGGAGAATATCCCATCTTCATGTCGTCGCCCGTACCTTCTTGGAAACTTTGTACTGCTACAGGATTGGGTGACAACACATTTAATCGAAGGGCGTTGGAAAAACTTTCGCCTACTTGGAATGGAAGAACGTTGAGTACCTGGAAAAGATGGAGTATTTAAGCGGGGGTCCTGAACTAAACCCCCTCAATTCGGTTCGGGCGGAGCTCAACAGGGTGGTCTACAGTGGCGGAGAAATCAACGATCTCGCTCAACTCCGGTACCCACTCACTTTCGCGCGGCCGAATCTCTCGATGGCGCTCCTCCAGAAGGCTGTGGCGGAGTATCATTATAGTATTTAATGTGCTCTTTAATATGGTAGTAAAAATGTCCGATAAAAATTTAATAAAGTGTAACTTATAGCGCCTTGAAAGTCATGGAGGCAAAATGACTTTTTTGGCCCCCCCTATATCAGGCAAGGTTGACATTCTATTATGTAATACCTAGGCGCCTTTCATTCACTGGGCTATTTTCTTTGTGGAGGCCTTAGTGGTGTCCCGACAAAGGAGACAAAATAAGGAAAAAGTAGAAGCAATCTGTAAGAATAAAGCGAGAAGTTGTTTGCCTCACCAGCCGAAGCAATTCGTCCACTTCGGATTCTGATAGCACGGTGCCACTGGATGAAACCATTGCCACTGATTTTTCATGATCGCTGATTAGCGATAAGTTTCCATACGATGGGCAGAACTCTTGCTTCACTTCAATTTCTAGAGACGAGCAACGACCCTGGGTACCACTTCTGGAGCTGTCAAGCTGAACATTTCGTTTGTTAAGAGCGTAGGAAATGTTTTGGTGGTACTCTAGAACGATATAGGAAATCCCAAAAGAAAGAGCGCGCGCCTTCTACTTCTAATCCACCTTGAGCCGATAACAGCGGAAAAACTTTGATTCTCGCTTTAAAAATTACTCTATTCTAGAATCCTGTCCTGGAGATGGACTCTCGGTGACCATCGGACTAGTGCTATTCGCATGCAACGGCGGAAAGCCTAAAGCGGCCAGCGAAGGACTGAAATAAGTGGTGTTTCATGAAAATGAAGCTACTCGAGATTTTGATAACTCTGACCCCATAAACGGCGCTGTTTATCGACGGGGGGCATTTTGTATTATAATTGCTTCCCTGGTTCCGGTTTACAAATCTCACTCTGGTAAAACTTGTGAAGCTGGAGCAAGATCGTCTAGCCACCATCCTAAAACGTGTCAACTTGAAAAAGGGTACCTAGGTGGGTTGGCAAATCTATGAAAGCAGAATGCCCCCCGTCGACAAACAGCGCCCCATAAACGTTGTGAGACTCAAACTGTGTGTAACCCTGGAGAAAAAAAAACTCGGAAAAACTTCCATGCGTTCGGTGAGATTCAGCAAAAAACTACCGAGCCATATACCTTGATGGTTCTTCTGATTCAGAAAACGCATCTCTTCGTAGAATTGCCATTTCGAGCTGTGATCTTCGAACATTTTATTCTCACGACTGAATTGATCTCTCAGCTGTTTCATCTTCTTCTTCAGTTGGACCACTGAAAATGGAATCGAGCACTTACGTAAAGCGGGAACAAGCTCAAGTAATTGCATCGCACCCCTACATATCTTTACTACTGTTTAAATGATATTAGTTTCAATGATCGTCTGATATCAATCTGGATGCTATCTAGTCACCTCCAAACCAAGTAAGGATTAGGAGGCAATGAAATACAACGGTAGGCCCTGTCCCTTTCTACGCGAGCGGCGTCTACTTTTATTTTACGATACATGCCGAGTGTTATCTCGCTGCCTGTCAGTCCAAACACATTTTTTTCTATGACCTTTGACCACCCCCCCCGCCGCCGGTGCCTAGGGAGCTTTCTGATCCCTCGCCCTCCGTTTTTCAGCGGTAGTGAATGAAACGCTGCCGATGAAAGTTTCATTGATCGACAAATCGTAGCAGCGTTCACCCTACAGTGCTTTTAGCTGACCAGAACAGTTGAAGTCGCACGGCTGTACGTCGGGCCAATGAGGCAGTCGGATCCAGATCTCAGTTTGGTTTCTGTCCCAGAACCACTAATACGGTTTACCTGGAGCCTCTCATTATCATGACCGATGGTTGCCTTCGAGTTGTTGTGTGACATCCACTTGTCGGTCTGAGCGCCGAGGAAACAGACGATACCCATCATCAGTGACAGTTTTGTAGTTTGAATAGAGCTGGCCAGGAGACTCAATGCAGAAATCTGTTGTGATGATGATCATCCGCCTAGGCCCAAGTATCCTCCCATGACAGATTCAAACGCTTCTATTCTTCATTCGCTAGCTCGTGAAAGCTCCTCTCCGAGAACAAGACCCCAGCCATTCTTCGTCTGGGGCCAGAGTGTGTTTTCCATAGTCGTGAATGACCTCTTCAAAGAAATCATTGCTGCTCCAGGCATCGAATAAGTTCCGCGTTCGTTTTCCTGCAAAAAGTGAGGCTTCCAAACATATTTCCTCTTGATCGTTCTCAATTTTCCAGCTATCGCTTACAGAAGGAATGTCAGTCCTGCAGGGAAGCTCGGCGAGCTAGTTCATTTGATCAGACGTTTGACACTCGATTTCATCCATCTGTTTTTCCTGCACAGAATGAACACTGTGATCCCAATCAATCACCTTCAACTTTCAACTTCAATCAACTTTCTTTCCGATTTCTCATGTTTTCTTTCCATGGTTAGATTGAAGAACTTAATCGAATACTTGTCTGCACGTGTTTGAATGAACTGGTCCAATAAATACTAATAATATACAACATATAATGAGCATGCAATTACTACACAGTTTTTATTCATTCAATATTTTATTATTGTTTGATAACTCGGCGCAATTCGGTGACGGAGTGGGGGAAGAGTTTTGCACTTCGTTGCTTCTCTAGCTCCAGTTTAGAAGTCTCACTCTTGCGAAACCTGTGAACTGTTGTGAAACTGGACCTAACTAGAGACACCCCGTTGAAAACTGTAAACTCATGAAAGAGCTCTCTAAATCTCTGTAGATGGGTCGACACGTCTATGGGAAGTAACCAAAATCCTCCCCCCCCCCCCCGACGCCGAACTGCCCCGATAATGCTATTATTGTTTTACCCTTTTCCAGCTGTGGCAGTGGAAATACACTGCTCCACATAATGATAGTTCCACCCATAAATCTTACAAAATCCCCTCTTAGATGACGTTTTCAAAATTGTCCTCAAATAGAAAATGTGGTAATGACCAATTCGCCAATTCGCATGTCAACACGAAAATCTAACTTGAAAGAATAATTTTTTCCCTTCATTTTTTTGAAAAGTGGTCACTCTGACAATTCCACAAAATGATAGTTCCACCTCATGTTTTGTCGCTGCGTCTCATTTTTGTTGGGTAAAACTGTCTCATCATTGTGACTCTTTGCCTTTTCTAGGCTATGGCAAGAGGACATTCATTATCGAAATTTGAAAAAAGACGGATAGTCGCAAGGAAGGCTCAAGGGTTGTCACGCACGGGATTTGGGCCGCAGTCACCATGTGATCATTAATCTTGTCAAGCAACCTGCATGAGATGGAATGAAGAAGAGTTCTGGGCGTACCCCTTCGCTATATGATCGGGGTAAGCACCGTATTCTAAGAGCACCAAATTCTACAATGTCGTGACTGTAAAGTCAACTTTGAGGCTCAACGTTTCGAAGGAAACTGTTCGGCGTGTCTCAAAAAAAGTCCGAGTTCATACTCAGGAGGAAAATGAGGAAGGCACCGTTCCTGACAGAAAGGCATCGTGAAAACCGAATCGATTTTGATAGCAGATGTTGCCGAACCGATTGGAGTAAGGTTAGCTTATGGCAGCGGTGCCCTACTGCTTGTCTGTCTTGTCTTTTCAGTTTTTTTCCAGGTCGTGTTTTCCGATGAGAAAAAATCCAACTGCGACGGTCCAGACGGAAATCTGTCCTACTGGCACGATCTCAGGAAAGAGAAGCGTCAATTTTCCAGGCGGAACTTCGAAGGAGGTGGTGCGGATGATCGAGCTGTCAGTCTTCACTCAACGGACGTCTAAAGTTTGTTTTCGTTTCAGTCACAGAAAAATGAATTTCGATTGTCTTCATGCGACGAGGTCTCCGTCCTTTCTGGCAAGCAAATTAGCAAGAAGACCTCGTTTTCGTGCAGGATAATACACGATCATGTCAGTCAAAACACTCGAGCGGTGTACTTAGTAATGCTCGTGATCGCGGAGATCGTCGCTCTTTTGCCCTGGAGCAAGTAGCCCCGACTAAAACCCAATCGAGAATGTGTGGGCTTCATGGTGCGTAAGATCTATGCGAACAATGCACGATTCCACATGTCCGTGAGCTTAAGGAGTCGAATCATTGATGCATGGCAGCATGTCAACACGACAACACCGAACACTTATTTAAAAACCTCTATTCGAAAATGGAAAACCGCATATTACAAATTATTCGGAGAAATGGAGTTCCAATAGATTACTGAATCAACAAATTTATTCATTTTGTTGTACACTTGTTGCTGGATTAATCGATTTGTTTGGTGGAACTATCATTTTGTGGAATTGTCAGAGTGACCACTTTTCAAAAAATGAATAAAAAAACTTATTCTTTCAAGTTAGATTTTGGTGTTGACATGCGAATGGCATGGGTCTCTACCACATTTTCTGTTTGGGGACAATTTTGAAAACTCACCTAAGACGGGATTTTGTTGATTATGGGTGGAACTATCATTATGTGGAGCAGTGTAGTGTGGAAGTGTTCATATAAAATACCAGTCGGATCACCCGGCTGCCGCCGGGTGCTCCTCCTTCTGTTTCACGGCCCGGCTTCGCCGGGCCGACCTGGCTTCGCCAGGCACTCTTCCCTTGGGCGAGGTAGAATGCGCTAAATGTGCAAAATGATGACAGCAATTTTTT